GGAACATAGGTGAAAACCTGAAAGGACATCACGGGTAAAAAAAAAAAAACTCTCCAAGAAGGAGCTTCTGATTAAAAAACATTCAAATACTTGCAAGTTCCAACAATATGGCACAAGCAGACATGAGGACTAAGACTCCTCCAAAACCCTGCAGGTTCCCAACATAACCAAAACTCACAAACATGCTGGAGCGTGATATGAATGGAAAATCGAAATGACTTCGATGAATCCTTGAAGAACATCGGGACCTCTCTAAAATGGAATCTCAGCAAGAATCTAGATAACTCTTCATGGACCTGCGAAGCACAGGATGAAAGCTCCAAAGGTAAAAAGATAACTTCGAGACTTTTGAGTTCTCGCGATCCCACAAGGAAATCCTTTCATCATCTTTGGGTAAAATATAATAAAGAAAATGACCATCAAAGGGGTCACAGGTGGCAAAATTGTAAGGCTCGTCCCTTTTAAAAGCGTTTTTTAAATCTGATTGTTAAAACCATCAATTTCCAAAATCGTTTTAGAAAGGACTTCCTCCATCACTATAAAAGGTTAAAGTGTTAATCGATCTGGCCTCGTTATCGAAGCTAACTTCCTACGCTTGTTATGAAGGCTTGAAACTAGCCAGGCACTCCATAGTTGTATGAGTATAACTACCAACTACCACATATCGAAGATGGGTGAACCTTGCCAATGATGATATTGGCTAGTCTGGGAGCGTTTTATCTCTCGACTGGATCCCCTGAGGCGAAATGAGGCAAGCTCATCCCCGTGTGTGCGTATGATGTCCCAAATTCCAATTCGAAAAATGTCAAACTTGTGTGACGTAAAAGAGCCGAGACAGAATAAACGTCAAACTCGTTCGACATAAAAGAGCGAGACATGATTAACATCAAACTCGTGCGACATTAAAGGGTCGAGACAGGATAAACGACAAACTCGTGCGATGTAAAAGAGCCGAGACAGGATAAGCGTCAAACTCATGCGACGTAAAAGAGTCGAGACATGATAAACGTCAAACTCGTGCGATATAAAAGAGCCGAGACAGAAGAAAAAAAAAAAAAAAAACGTCAAACTCGTGCAATGTTAAAAAGCTAAGACAAGAAAAACGTCAAACTCTTGCAACGTTAAAGAGCCGAGACTGGAAAAACGTCAAACTGGTGCGATGTAAAAAAGCCGAGACAGGGACCGTCCAGCCCCATATGACATGAAAGGTCGGGTGTATCCAGGGCACAACCACCCTGTTCAATGAAAAAATGTCAAACTCATGTGACGTAAAAGAGCCGTGACAGGTATTATCTCGCCCTGTATGACGTGAAAGGTCGGGTGTATTCAAGGTACAACCACCCTGTTTCAATGGAAAAACATCAAACTCGTGTAACGTAAAAGAGCCAAGGCAGGTACCGTCTATCCCCGTATGATGTGAAAGGTCGGGTGTATCCAGGGCACAACCACCCTATTTGATGGAAAAACGTCAAACTCGTACAACGTAAAAGAGCTGAGGCAGGTACCGTCTAGTTTCGTATGACGTAAAAAGGTCGGGTGTATCCAGGGCACAACCATCCTGTTTGATGGATTCCATTTATCCTCGTATTGACATAAAAAGGTTGGGTGTATGGTCCATCACTGCATGACGCTAAACTGCTTAGATGACTCTATGGTTGTAGGAGTTAAAACTACTAAGCAACCTTGTTTTTAAAAATATCTTTCCCTTTTCAAAATGTTCACTATATGTCTTGTGTTTTCAAAAACTTTAATTTCATTGTTAAAATCGTAACCTGTCCTTGCTCCGGGTTTTATTTCAAATCTCCCCCTACTTTCAAAAATTATATTTAAAAAAAAAAAGTCCTAAAAAACGAAGGAGCTTGGACACCCGTATATGATGATTACAACGTTGCCGTGATTGCCGCTTTGCTGCCTCGTCTCTTACTTCGAATTTAGCCAGACTAGTCTGTTCTTATAGAAAGCCTTTTCCTATAGACAGCCTTAGGAAACCCTAAGGAGATAAAAAAAAAATGCCAGGGTTAAAAATTCAAACTATAAAAACCCTTGAAGTTAAGTGGCATGGCTAGAAAATCCAATTCGATTTTCAAACTTATGTAACTCACCGACATCTCACGCCGAAAACCCTAGGAGGAAAAATGCCCTAGGTGGGTGAGCTCGGTAAGTGCAATGACTTGAAGGGATAGTTGGTATGCCCCGTGACCATGTGACCTCAGGAAAGAAATTTAAAATATCTGCTTTATCTTTGACGTTCATCTGCCCCTTGAAGGATAGGGAATGTCAAAGTGTCTACTTCTTTGCCCCTCACCTGTCTCTCGAAGGATAGGGAGTTCCAAAGAGGGGCAATTGTAGACACCCTATTTTAAATCTAGCAAATTCTAGGGTTTTCTAAACCCTTAAGACTACATTATCCTAATAGACCCAATTTAGTTGCTCCAAAACTACCTAAATCCTATCCCAATTGAAGTAGAGCCCAAAAGCTTTCCAATGGTTAAATAATAGTATGAATCGGGCCTACGGATAAAAAGATGTCATAAATGACAATTTAGTCTATGTGAGACCCAACTGTTGGGCCACGGACTAGGCAGTATCGGGTCCGACAGGCCCAGACTTGGGTTGATGATGCAGTCCATGAATCTGATGATGTAGTAAATGTGTTTTCTTTAATTAGATAGGGCTAAAACTTCAAGATAAATCCAAAACATTCTGAAAAAAACTTCAAAAAATTTAGGAAAAATCACAAATTGAATATTATAAATACCCCATCTCCTTAACCCAAAAGAGAGAGAAAAAGAGACAAAAAAAGCCTTAAAAATTCTTGAAATTAAGAAAATTACCCAAAAATAAGAAAAACGTTAGAAAATTCCTAAAAATTTAGGAAAATTCCCCAAAAATCCAAAAAATTTAGAGAAAATCTCAGAATTCATATTCAACTTATGGATATCACAAAACCCTTAAAAAACTAAGAAAATTCTCCTCTAGATCTCGAAAAAGACTGACAGTTTTAGAAAAATCTCTAGATTGAAAACCTTAGAGAAGATAGAAACCCTAGCCTCACCCTAGATTAAAACTAGAATTAAGGCAGAACAACCCTAAATCTAACCCTTTACACAAGAGATCTGCTGATTAACATCCGAAATAGAGAGGCAAAGATGACCAGTTCTGATACGGACGAGCCCTCGAAGGCTCGAGAATCCCGGGTCATTTGGCCCTGTTTGGTATTATTTTTCCTCTCTCTTTCTTCTTTTTTTTACTGTTTTCTTTTTTTATTTATTTTTGATCTATTAACTTGTCTTAAAATTCATATTTTGGTGCTCTGGATCATGCTGGCTCTGCCACAGATCTAAAAGTAGATATGCTCGTTTCCGAGCAAATTTGGCCTCAGATCTGAATTCGATCTGTCCCACTTTCTCTACCACTTTATTTACATCTTTTTAATTAGTTTAAGGTGTTAAAATTCGAGAGATCTTAATCGAAAGATCTGTCAGATTTTCATTGTAAACAAACATTCAAAATATCACTGGATTTATGTTGCACTATTACAAAATGCAACAACACAATTGTACAAAGAAAAATACAAGTGCCACTAGATCAATGTTGCACTCTGTTAAAAAATGCAACACACAACTGTACAAGTAAAATAGAAGTTCCAATGGATCTGTATTGTACCTAATGCAACACACAAAACCACACTGTATTTCAACTCATATAACACACATGATTAGCCCAAAACATTGTCAGCTCCAATATTCGCCATCAGCCAGTTGCTTTCCACCAATTTCAGATCACTTTGTTGCACTCAACCTAATTCACAAAACCACATTGTATTTCAATAATCATATTCATGTTATCTATAAATTTTGCAAGCAATTAGAAGCAATCACTAACAATTTAACAAACAAGCAATCACTATATTACATTCTCCACCTGCCCAAACATTCATGAGAAAATTATACAGTAACACAAAATACTTTGCCAAATTCAATAAAAGATAGTCAAAATCAAACAAAATCTTCTTTACTTGTTTTATGGAGAGAGAGAGAGAGAGAGAGAGAGAGAGAGAGAGAGAGAGTAACTGATTTGTACCTTAAGTTCAGAAGAGAAACTTACTGAAACATTTATGGAAAAATAAAGACAACTAAGGTTTTTACATGCATTATGATCCAAATGGTAATTACAATAAAATGAAGACAACAATATCCAACAACACAGGGTAACATCCAACATAGCATAGGTTATACAATTTGAAAGACAAAGGAAGCATCCAATAACACAGGGTGCTATATTAAGGTATTGATTTCAAATTGCAAATCAATTCATTTATACACAATCACAAAACACAAACCCATTCAACTACTGAAAAACGAAAACTCTCAAAAGCCAACCTTTTCAAGCAAAAAAATAGTTTCTCTCTCTCAAGCAATTTCACATAAAATGCCTCACACCCACAGAAACCCCTGAACCAGCTCCTTTCCCTTCTTTGCAAAACCCTTGCACAACATACCCTTCTTCCCAAACCAAATCCTCCTCCACTTTCTCTCTCCTCCATAATTCCCCAACCACAAGAAACAAATAACCCTCCTCAACCTCTACATACTATAGAGAGAGAGGTCCCAACCCATAATTAATTGATAGGTCCTGAACCTCTCCATTGGACTGACTCATGGCACTCATTTTCAAAAAACTAAATCCCCACAAAACTAATCTCTACAATGGACAAAGTATAATAGTACGACCATCTTATTCAGCAATATCCACAACATCAAAACCAATCCCTACAATCAATCACTATACAACAAGCAAGCAATCACTATACAGCCAATCACTATAAAACAAGCAAACAATTTACAGGTACTTCAAGCAATCACTACAATTCATAGTGCTCCTTACGATCAATAGTTTTCTTTGACATTCCTAGCAGACCGTGTTGTACGGCACATTTTGTCAGCAGCCCTGAAGAAGGAAGACAATTTGCACTGTTAGCATTTCATATCACATTAAAAGTTCTACAATTATAAGTAAGCTATACTACAACAAGAATTAAGATGTTTGTACAATCAAAATTCACGAGATACTAATGGTATGCATTATTACTTTGCACGACTGAATGACGAACAATTTCTTTTGTCATGCCCACTGCCCTTGCAACTGCACATTTCCTGGTACTTTCCTTTGGCTTTTTGGTATTTTCCTTTGGCTTCCACCCTTCTGATTGAGCGTTCTTTCTTTTATTGGTAGGTCTTCCCTTTGTCCGTGCACGTGAAGGCTCAATGATATTTTGGTAATGGTCACTTTCACTTGGTGTATCACTACAACTAGCTGTATTCTCATCGATATTAGCATTCTCTTCAACATGACCATTCTATTCAGCATTACAATTGATTGTGGCGTCATTCTGTGGACCTCCCTTACGCCCGAATTGGCTATCAACCTGACAAATTCCATTGCGTATTATGGCCATTCTAAATTTACGGAGCTTTGCACTCTTTGAAGCATGCTTGCGAGGTAACGAGTTGCCTGATAGACCTCATTATATCTAATGGAGCGTGATAGTTGAGATGTTTCTTGAATTTGATTGCCGCTCTCATCGATAAAAACCCCATTTTTTTTATCTTTTGTCCAACGCCTCACTATATATTGTGGGCGTATTTCGAATGCATTCTTCACCATAAAAACTTTCAAGACATGCCTACAAAGAAGCCTACAAAGAAGACCCATCCTCTCATATAAGTGACAGCTACAACAAACACTCTTGTCATTGGAATTGAATTCCACAAGGTAGGGTCTGGAATCACTTCTTGACATTGCCACCTTAAAAGTGGCTAGCAATCCATTGTCCTTATTTAACTTGTTCATCAAATTAATACAATTCACCACCTCTTCCCCAAATAGCTTCACAATCTTTTGAATGTAGAACTTTGCTGCCTGGGCCTCAATAAAAGAAGTTGTTCTTAATATTGGAGTAGTATTAATGTCTCTTAAGTCATTTTCCCTTTCCTTTTGCACCTTTTTATCTTGCACCTTTGTCGTCACTTCTAATAATGCATGTAAGCTTGTTGAAGAGGCTATGTACATCTTGAAGTGCTTATTCATTCATTCACTCCTTTGAGTGGAAGTCATACCGCTGTAAATGTATCACTCAAGTATGTATCGACCCATTGCATACGACAATTATAGAGCCTAGTAAGCCAATCATTACTTTCCAACCCATAATTCTCAATCATATCTTTCCACCCCAATTCAAATTCTTCCACCGTTTTACTTGCCACACACCTCCTGAAGGTTTTTGAAAAATTTGGATGCCTATGCAAGACATGACACAATTTATCTATAATCTTTGATAGTATATGCTACTTACAATAATGAGGCTTACTTTGGTCTAAAACTCATCTCACTACATTTGAAATTGCTGGATCTTGATAAGTGAGAATAACTCCAGGCTGACGTCCCCCCATAGCGTCTAACCAATTTTCAAGTATCTATACAAATGATTCAACCTTCTCATAAAAAATGAGTGCAAATCCAAAGAAAGTTGTACTGTGATGGTGATTTACATCAATAATAGGTGCAAATGGCATACCATAGGTGTTTGTTTTGTATATGGTATCAAAAGTTATCACATCAGAGAAGCACTGGTATGAAACTCTAGAAAAGGCATCCACCCATAAGATACTCAGGATATGATTGGCTTCATCTAATTTCATTCTATAAAAAAAAGATGGGTTCAATTCTTTCACCTTATAAAGCCATGGCATAACAAGACTTCCATCTTCTCCTCTTAGTTTTTTTCTGGAGTTAACGATCACATTTTGGATGTCTTTTTGTGTACAATAAACATTATCAATCCCTCCAGATTCCTCTATGAAAATGTCATGAATATTTCTGGCTTTCACCAATGCCGAGCTCATTGAACCTATCATCAACTTTGCAGTGCCTAACATTGTTCGATTTGAGAGAATTAAACGAGCTTTTATTGGGGACAAAAGATCGTGATTGTGTTCCTCAACAATCCTAGTCACAACCCACTCGTTATTTGATTCAGGGCGTACCTTTTCACCTACCCGATCTTTCTCTTGGTGAAACCCTTCTTTAGAACAATTGAGCTCTCTATCAATCCTTTGACTATCTTTATTGTGGGTAGTCCCCTTACGGATGCCAAAACCTTTGGCTAATGCATACTTCTTATAATACTCATGTGCCTCATTCTCAAAACCAAACTCCATCCCTATATATGGTTCTTCTATTTGTAGGGCCTTGGTTGATGAGCCATGTTCCCCATCTCACATTTCTGAAAGATAAGGAACCTGCTCCACGGTCTCAATGGTGTCATTCGTGCTGTCTACAATTGGGCACGGTGAAGATGTCACATCGACTGATATGGTGGGGTCCATAAAAATCTTTCAACTGACCGTACATAAAAAACCAAACCACATAAGTAGAGGTCTGCAAATATTGTCTGCAAAATTCAATTGAGTCGTTCTATCAAAACACTATGACAATCATCACAAAAGAATAACCATAATAAATTGTCTATGGAAGTTTTAAAAATTTTCTTAACCAAACAAACAATAAAGTAAGATGAGTTAATACTCTACAAAGTTTTTTGATATATTATTGGACTATCTAATTCACTTTCAACAACTTAAATTGCCTTTTTAGCCTAGTAATATATCAAAAAGATGAGCAATTGAGGCACCATTTTAATTTATGATGTTTGGTTGTAGTAGAATACCGGTGCATGTGTTCATATTGATGAGGGAAATGCATAGTTGGAGGAAGGACTAATTGGGATTAGGTTTTTCAAGGAATACAAGATCGAAATTTATGTGCATACATTCAGTCTTGTCTAATGTCATGTTCTGTAAGTTCATTAAAGCATCTCGTATATGCTTTTCAAGATAATAAAAAGGTGAAATCTAGTTAAAAGTAACCATGATAAAAAATGAATGTCACCTATGTATGTATTCATTATGGAAGTTCTAAATTCATAAATAAAAGAATAAGGGCAAAGGATCAATGACTAGCCTCTAAAAAAATGATGTTATAGTAAATGCAAGGACACAATTAGGATAAAGAAGATTAGAAAAAAGAATAGAGAAGAGGATTCCAGTAAAAAAAAATGAAACTTGTTTCATCATGTTGAGAACGAATCTCAAAGCAAAGTTTATTCATAGAGACAACCAAAACCCCCAAAACCCAAAACAACCAAAACCCCAAAACCCAAAACCCAAAACAAGAAATTCATATCATATGTAAAAATCAAAATAAAGCACCAACACAATATCCTAGAAAATTAAAAGAAAGCACTGAAACAGATTAAAAAATATCTTAAAAAAAAAGAAAAGAAATCGACTTTAGAAATCAAAATGAAGCATTAATGGGTAAAGAATAAAAAATAGCGTACCTAAACCTCAAATCTACTGAAGATTGTCCCAATCGCCTTTGCAGTAGCAATGGAGCATAGAAAATTTTTGAAATTTCAGAAATTTTTTGTGTTATAGGTTGTATTTCTAGAGAGAGAGAGGC